AAAAAAAAAAAAAAAAGAGACACACACACACACACAAAAAGTCATGAAATGAAGAAGTGGTGAATTACCCAAGCGACTTTCCGCCGAGAGCCAGCGAGCCACCGAGAGGAGCTGCGGAGCGCTCCGGAGCTGCCCGGCACGGACCCAGCGGCACCGCAGCGCGATGCACAGAGCCTCAGCTGCTGGAGCTCGCCTTGCCATGCCGGCTGCTCACTAGCATGCAAACCCTCGCCCAGGATGAAAACAGGTTTGTGGCAGTCTGCTGGAGATGTTTCCTTCCCCGCTGCCGGCACTTTGCTGTCGGTGCCTGAGAAGATCTTAATGATGGCAGCGGGCACTTCTGCCGCGTTCCCTCCGCCGTTCTTCGGAGATAAATCTTTCATGCGGCTGTCTTTTCCTATCTGTGGTGGTTGCTGCACAGTCTGCACTTGATTGCAGCTCAAATATTTTTAAGATCCGCTTTGCAAAATGATGCAAAGTAAACACAGATGGGAGAAGTGAGGGAGAGAGAGCTGTGATGAAGTAGTGGTGGTGGATGGATCTTCCCTCCTTCTCCCTCCAGTGCCTTCCCCCAAATGCGAGCCTTCCCTGCTATGATTTTAAAGGAGGAAAGATTTGGGGGCCCTTTGGATGGAGGTTTGGAGGGATGTTTCCATCAGGGGTGCTTGCCTTGCTGACCAGCTTCCTTCATGTCTGTGGCTCCCAGGCCAATCAGCTTTGTCTCGCCTTCACCTGTCCTCAAGTTTCTTCCATCACCTTTCAGGTCATTCGTCCAGAATGCCCGAGGAAAGTTCACCAAAGCGGAGTCCTCAAAACATCCCATACAAGGACCTGCCCCACATTGTCAACGCTGATGGGCAGCACCTCTTCTGCAGGTACTGGAAGCCAGCAGCAGCTGCCAGGTGAGCATTTTTCAGCAAACACACTTTTCTGACTATCAGAAAGACTCTGTGACTCTGTTTTATAGCCCGGCTGCTCAGACTGGGCTATGTGCACTAAGAGATGTCTCTCACCTGAGAGAGCTCCTACTGTAATGACTGTATTCCCCAACCCTTTCTCACTCAAGCTCACCTTACAGATGTGAACCACAGAGTTACTCTCGCCCTGTGCACAGCTGCCTCGCTTGGCACTTGTGTGTGCTACATCCAGAGTGGCACTTGAAGGAGGCTGATGCCTGTCAGTGACAAAGTGCCTTCAAACCAACAGCAGTCAGGGAGGGATGGGATGCCAAATCAGCGATATCTGCTCTTTTTAATTTCCTTATTGTCAACAAATACAGCATCAGCATCTGAGTTCAGTTTGATCAGTAGCAGCAGAAATCTCAGGGCAGCAGGCAGGAGCTGGTTTAACTGTGTTGCTTTTTAACTGCTTTTTTAAAAATTTATTTATGGTCAGTAAATGATTTAGGAAGCTCTCACTGGGACCCCTCCGTGAGTTCAAAACTGAACTTGGTGATAAACACAGACAAGGTATCAGATAGAGACGTTTAAATAATGTCTTTTTCATAATTTAAATAGTCCCCTGAGTGTAATGGCTTTCTGTGCTGATTACGTGCTGATTATGATCTGCTATAGAAAGCTATCTGTGTTTCTCCCATAGTTATTTATGGCTGTTCATCTTGCTGCCAGTATCTGCTGTCAGATTCTGGCTTGACACATACTTGTGTTACCCCTAGTTGTATAGGCAGCTACTTTACAAAATCTGGATATTGGTTGGTTGGCTGTTTTTGTGCAAGCCAATGGGAAAAGCTATGTTAATTTTTTAATTGTATTTTCTTTTTATAGCTGATAGGCAAATACAAGAAAAGTTGTTCAAGCAGGAGTTTGAGTAGTGAGGAGTAGCACTTTCCCACACCCATCCAATCGGTTGCATCCAAACCATCTCAGAGCAACTTTCCTGCCCTTGGGTTTGGTGCCTGCCAACCAATGAGCCATGCAGTGACATATGGTCAGGAGGTGGCCTGCACCTAAGCAATGTACATTGCCACCTTGTTCCCAGAGAGCAGGGCTGTGAGCCACCCCATGCAGCTCCATGGCACTTATTAGGTTCTAGGACATGGGTCTTGGCTTAAGATCTGTGGTCCTACAATCCATGGATCTGGTCCACAGAGAGCTTTGTAGTTACTTCTATTCACTGACTTTCAGGAGGAGGAAAGTTTTTGGCACAGATGTTTTCTGTATCCTTTGCACCAGCCTCCAGATTTCCCGTATTGGAAAAAAAAAAGAATAGCACTAAACCAAGCTTCTACTGTGAAATCAGGCTGTCTCATATTGTAATGCTAATTAATCATTAACTGCCCACAACGATCTTCATCCAGTAGTGAAATAGCTTTCTCTTTTCATGTTTAATTTCTTAGCAAATTAGTAGTGAGTGGATGGGTCTTTGATCAAGAAATGAAAGGATGATAAAGAACTGAGAGTTAAAACTTAGTGCCGAAGTCCTCTGGGTAGTTAATTTTTTAGGGCTCTGTGAACCAAGCAGTTAATTGAGAGCAAGCTTGCCCTACTTTTGTAACAACAAAAGTAGAAGGGATCAGTGTTGCTCATTTACAAGTGGTTCCTGTGTGTGCATTTGTATATGAGGAAGGGCGTACTGTTTATTATTAGCTCGTTTTGCATTGTTATGTATGAGAGAGAATGCAAGTGGCTGAATAGCAAGTTAGTGCCTATATTCTACAGTCAGGAACACTCTTGAAGTGCTTTGATAGGAAACCAAAAATACATTTTTTCCCTCTCACTTTTCATAAGTAGCTCAGCTTATTCTGCTTCATATGTAAAAGCTTGGCAACTTTCATCTAATTTTAAATGTTCAGCAAAAAATGATCTATATATACGTACAGGGAGAGAGAGGCACCTCGGGGGACTTTTGTTGGCCTGTTACAGTTATTCTGTTTCAAATACTGAAGGTGAATCTTTCAATCTTCCAACTCAATTGTTGATCCTAACGCTAATGAGTGACACTGTAACAGTTGAAAGGTGGGATCTTCCATTGATCCATTATACACCTCTTCCCAGCTAGGGCTGCAGAAATACCTTCTCACTGCAGATGCCCAAAGGTTATCATTGACTTGGCTTCAATTAGAATAGAACTTACCATCCTCGATCCACCCCCCAGGGAGAAAATAATGGGATATCTGCCAAAGGAAAAAATTAAGAAGTGGTGCTGCTGGCCTGGGGTTGGAGAGCAAACAATGGGTGGACACTGAACCAACAGACATTGCTCTTCGAAGTGGGTGCTTCTCTTTTATCTCCTCAAACAGACCTGCAAAGGTGGCTTTAAAAAACAAAAAAACATTGGTCAGCAAGATGGGGAATTTTGTAAGGCTCTTCTGTTCCGTGCACACAAGTATTCAGGCTCAGATCCTACAGAGTGTTGAGCCAACTGATCAGCCCATACTGGTGCACATATGGATGCTTTGTTGTAAGTGCCACCGAGGCCAAGGTTGTGGTGTGAGTGAAAGGCACCTATTGTGAGTTCCTCAGCAGGGGCTGCTTTGTTTCGGGGGGGATTTAGGTGATTACGTCGCAGGAAGCTGACACACAAAGGCACTCAGATGTCACAGAGATTAGATGGGGTAGATAGAGTAGATATTAATGGACTAAGGAAGGAGGGCAACTGTTTTCCACCTCTTGGGATGAGATGTCAGCCCATGGGGAGAGCTGGGGCTGCAGGTGCAGCTTCCCAGCCAGCAGTCCCATGAGCTGCCCAACTTGTTGAGCCAGTTTCATCCCCAGATGTAATTAAGGGGTTTCATTTAATGTGGCAGGAAGGGAAAAGCACTGTGTTCTGGTGTTTTCTTGGATCCTGCCAAGAACAGGGTTTGTGGAGCATAACAGCAGGTAGCTGGCATGGGGAGCTCACTCGTGAGGTCCCATTTTTGGGACAGTTTAATATTGCTTTTTTGGAGCTAAATTGTTGGTACCAGAACAGACTGATGTCACATCTATGGCACATCCCAGTAGCTGAGAAAATCCTACTTAATGGAAAAGCAGCCCTTGTGTAAACAAAAACAACAGCTCCATGCAAGGTTACAACCTCTGCCACCACCCTCAACCTCCTAAGTCAAAATATGAGGTAACAGGAGGTGAGGAATTAAGAAACCGTGCTCTGTTCCCAGCCCTCAGACAAAGCTGCTAAGAATAGAGGTGGGATGAGGAACGGGAAGGAAAGTTGGGAGGAGAAGTCAAACCATTTCCTTTGAGGCCCCAGAAGGGCCTGAAGAATTTCAATGTTGACCTTCTTTCCCCTCTGTTCAGTATCCTGGTGGCCTTCTCTGGATGTCTCAGCTGTTCCCATCTCTGCCTGGATAACTGCAAACAGTTTGTTTGGGGCATTTTGGAATTTGTTGACCCAGCTCACTTTTGAAACCCACCAGTATCATCAGTTTTACCAATAGCACACATCCACCACTGATTTCAGATTGGGACAGTAGTGTTTGGCTCTCCTCTGTAAATAGACATAAATTAAGGTTGGGCACTTGAAGTGTGAGATGCTCACAGTTCAAAGATGCTTTTGGAAAGGCCCATTCTGTGCTGAGGAGGCTGCCAGGAGCTGCCACGTGTGGGCTGCATGCCTTCCTGCTCGATTGTTAATGTACAGTGAAATGGCTTGGTTCAACTTCAGACATTGTGACCGTGATTTAGGGGAACAGAATGCAATTACCTGAGCAAACACTGCCTTTGTAGGAGTTCTTTCAGCTTTACACCTGAGAAGTGTGATTAAAAATACAAAATGAAACAAACAAATCCACTTGCTTCTCTATTTGCATTTTTTCCTTTCTAAAAAATGCTGTCATTCATTCTGACTTGGTAGTGGTAAAAGAGCAAGCCAATAAGGAAAAAATCTATTTCTTTCTCCCTGAAGGACTTTGCAGAAGTGCCTGTAGTGCAGAAATACAAACTGCCTTTAGATTTGATCCAGCCCTTGAACTGTGAATATTGCTTGCTGATTTTGGCACCTCATTATCAGCATTTCCATAGCATTTCCAGAAGAACAGCACTGCTCCCAGCGTGAGCAGATGACAAAGTTAAATTTGACTTTCAGACCCTTCCAAAATGACTAAATAAATAAACTGAAGTCAGAGCAAAGGAAAGCAAGTCACTAATTCTAATGTCTCCAATTATGCTGTGCAAGTCTCTAGAAATACTGAATTTTCTAATTTGGTGCCACTCTGGAAGAACACTTTAGTTTGAAGCTGATCTCATTAGTACAAACTAATGCACAAGGACCAAACTTGTACAGTTTAAAATGACTTATGGCAGCATCATCTGTCATAGGATGAATTGAGCTCTCCGCATGTCTGATCACATCATAAACAGAGCACAGGGGAAATAAGAGCTTTTCACTTAATGATTTTCACTGTCAAACCAACATTCCAGGCTTTACTTGCTATATTGCTATTGCCTGAGTTTCTAAAGCTTCCTTCTGCAATTCATCAGCTGTATGTATTCTTCCAATGGTTGTGTTCTCTTTGCTCTAGGTGACAGCCTTATTTGTTGTGAATGGTGGCAGCCTCCCATGATTTCTTATCCAGGGGGTGGGAAAATTAATAAACCAGCTTCATCTGTGAGGGACTTTTTGACAGACACGAAAGCTTCATTTCTTGCTGTGGGTGTTCCCAGCAGCTTCCATTCAGTAGGACAGAATTTCTTCAGTCCTCACAGGAATGCAAGTCTCCTTTTGTTTTTCCATGAAATCCAAGGAATAAGACAAAAACAAAGGGAATAACAATGGTTGTAAACAGCCCTTTTTGTTTATTACACTCTTAGAATCAGTTTCTAGGCACAGGCATACAACGTTTATGCAAGACAATGCAACTTTATGGCTGGTTGTGTGCAAGAGCAAGCTGACTCTAGGAGCTCTCTGTTGTGAATCTCAGAAATTTCATTAAGTTTTCATCCTG